TGCTCCTTAGTCTGCTTCAACCCCACAATATCTGAAATATGTTAGACTATGCATCTGTGAGAACAGTCCTATATTTTCCCTATCCAAATATGTTTAAATAAATATTAACCACATTGTTTTGCCAAGTCATTTGGCCAATAAAATGTGGAATTTGAACAGTATAACTTCTGAGCTCCTTGCCAGTTACAGTGTTTTTCCTCAAGCCTTGTGCAATGTGGAGCTATTATTTGGGGTGGATAGCTGACTGTCTTACTCTAACTCTGTTCTGCCCCACGCCTTTTTTTTAGTGGAAAGAATATGGGCATCAGACAGATGTGACTTGGGATTCTGCCTCTGCCATTTACTAGCTTTGTGACACCTTTGAAGATGATGTGGCTTTCTACACCTGCATAACCTCAACCCTCTGGTTTTCACTGATTGCCTCACAGCCAGACATCAGACCCAGGTTGGACCCCTGACTCAACTGTGTGATTGAGAGACTCTAGTTAAAACATAGAAGAATCAGGGCCAGAGTGTATTCAGAAAGAGAAAGAGAAAAAGAGAGAAGCAATGAGGAGAGACAGCCCCTGATGTCCAGTTGCTCAAGATATACCACTCACTTCCTGTCCTTTGATGTTTCTGTGACTCTCTGTTACATTATACTATAAAACTCATTAACACCAGCCTGACTGCAGTTCTGTTTTTGAAGCCAACATCTCTGACTTAAAAAGCACATTCAGAGATCTATAACTTCTGAGTTTCTTTTACCTCATCTATAAAATGAGACTAAATAATAATAACACTTTCCTTGTAAGATTGCACTGAGGATTCTATGTAATAATGGATGGAAAACTCTGAGTTCTGAAAACATAGTAGGTGCTCAATAAATTATGGCCATTAACTTCCTGCAAATTTATGCCTCATAAATAAACCACCAATATATTAGGAATTCAAATTATTTCTGATTCCCTACCATGTCTGTATATCACTCTGTAAACACGCCAATCCAATGAGTCTTTTAAATTGGTTGCAACAAGTGAACTCCTTGATGCTATCCAGACTAAGTAGCTACACTCCCTTCCTTTACACTGCTCTCCACAAAGTGGGTGAGCAGAGTAATGGCCATTTTCTACAAGTGATGCCTACTCAATCACCATAAGACCACAATGAGGCAATGAAAAACCTTTCTCACCTCTCTGCTAGGTGGAGTAGTGCAGCCCTAGTAGGACTCTCTACACCTGCATAATTGGTGTAACTAGAAACAGACAATAATGTTATTATCTTGACAATTCTAGAAAAATATAGTTTATGTATATATGTTGACAGACTACATCCAGTTGAATAGTTAGATGCATTGTAGTCCTCAAGTCTTGGTAGAAGACTTGAGATTTATTTTTTAAAAAAATCAAACTCATATTCACTTATATTCATGGCATTGAACAAAGAACAATGGAGTGCCCAAGTGAGTTTTTTGGTCTCTTTGCCAAAGTGATCACTTTTGAGTTTCTAAATGTCTTCTCTCTACAAAGTCTTCTTCTTCTAAGTTCTTTGATCAGAATGCCCTGTCCCTGACACAGTACAACCCAGGTAGGCAGGCACGCCTACCTGTGTGCCTTTTTCCTCCCTAGATTGAGAGCTTCCATTTATGGATAATAATTGCAGCTAATATTTGTTGAAGATTCTCCTATCTGCCATAGATGCTTTACATGGATTATTTCATTTACTCACTAAACAATCTTTTAAAGAGGTGCTACTGTACCCAGAATGGGTTCCTTCTGGTGGGTTCTTGGTCTTGCTGATTTCAAGAAGGAAGTAGAGAACCCTCGCAGTGAGTGTTACAGTTCTTAAAGATGGTGTGTCCAGAGTTTGCTCCTTCAGATGTTCAGATGTGTCCAGAGTTCCTTCCTTATGGTGGGTTTGTGGTCTCGCTGACTTCAGGAGTGAAGCCGCAGACTTTCACAGTGAGTATTACGGCTCTTAAAGGTGGTGCATCTGGAGTTTTTTGTTCCTCCTGGTGGGTTCATGGTCTTGCTAGCTTCAGGAGTGAAGCTGCAGACCTTCGTGGTGAGTGTTACAGCTCATAAAGGTAGTGCGGACCCAAAGAGTGAGCAGCAGAAAGATTTATTGCAAAGAGCAAAACAACAAAACTTCCACAGCAAAGAAGGGGACCTGAACGGGTTGCTGCTGCTGGCTCCGGGGGCCAGCTTTTATTCCCTTATTTGGCCCCACCCACGTCCTGCTGATTGGTCCATTTTATAGAGTGCTGATTGGTGTGTTTTTATAGAGTGCTGATTGGTGCATTTACAAACCTTTAGCTAGACACAGGGCGCTGATTGTTGCTTTTTTACAGAGTGCTGATTGGTGCGTTTACAAAGCTTTAGCTAGACACAGAGTGCTGATTGGTGTGTTCACAATCCTTTAGCTAGACAGAAAAGTTCTCCAAGTCCCCAACTGACCCAGAAGCCCAGCTGGCTTCACCTCTCAATCCCCCACTAAAGATGATACCCCAACTGCTGCTGGGAATTGGGTGATGACCGCTCTAGCTACTTCCTGCTGGATAGGGGCTAAGAAGGGGCCCTGAAGTTGTAGTCTTCTCCAGAGTGGAACTCTTTAGGCCAGTGAAAGGGCCAGCGGGTTGGTCCAGGAGTCCTCAGTAGAAGTTGTTAGTTGAGCTCATTTGGGGTTCCATTTGTAAGACCATCTGTAGCTTGGTGGCCTCGATTCTAGAGGAAACAAATTTGACAAGGAGGTTAAAAATACAGGGCCTGAAGGCGAGCAATAGCAAGATGGCTGCCATGGGAACTAGAAAGGGGAGAAGTCATGTTGCCCAACTCCAGAGGTTGGTATAAGAGTTTGAAAGGCAATATCTGATTTCAGAAACCTTTTCCTGTAAATGCTGGGAGATATCTCGTACTATCCCTGATTGGTTAGTATAAAAACAACACTCTTCACCGAAGAAGGTGGAGTCCTCCTTTCTCAGCAGTGAGGAGGTCTAAGCCTTGGTGGTTTTTGAGAGTCACTGCTGCCACAGAGTCTATTTGGGATTGTAGAGTAAGGATAGATTTTGTTCTTTCTTGTAAACTGTCTGAGAAATCCTTTGGGAGTGTGTGGTAGTAGGATAATACATGTTACACTGTTGACTTTTAGCAAACTTTACTTTTGTTGAAAAATTTGTAAGCTTGGGATTTCAATTATTCTTTGCTATTAATAAGACCTCATGCAGTCCATATTAACTTAGAATTGGTATAGAAGCCTCCTTCCTGATACTGTAAGTACTTTAAGGTTTGGCTGAGCACAAACAACTCGCAAGTTTGATACCCATTGTGTCTTTTTCCCTTAATCGCCTGCGAGGAACCATCTATCATCCTGTCCTGAAGGGAGTTCCTCCTAGATCTGGTCAGACCTTTGTATGGTAATTAATTAAGATTTAGATCCCCTGTTAGGAAACCTGTTGGGTTAAAGATTTTTGATAGGAAGGCTATGGGTTGTCAGTGGCCTCAGTGCTTTCAGGGTACACCCTTGTTTACACTGACAACAAGGTGGTATTGGAGTGTTATAGGGTTACAGAGAAGACCTTCAATTATCAATTATAGGTTTTAAATTTACCCTGGCTTTTAAAGGAATAGGGTACACTGATTTTTCTTTACTACTTCTATCTCTCTTTCTCTTTGACTTCTTCTTTATCTCTCTCTTTCTGACTCCCTTTTTGTCTGTCTCTTCCTCCCTCTCTTTGACTTTGTCTCTTTCTTTCTTTCTCTCTGACTCCTTCTTTGTCTCTCCCTTCCTCTCTCTGTCTCTCTCTTTCTCTCTTTCTGACTCCCTTTTTGTCTCTGTCTCTTTCTCTCTCTCCTTGACTTTCTGTCTATTGAGAGGTGAAGCCAGCTGGGCTTCTGGGTCAGGTGGTGACTTGGAGAACTTTTCTGTCTAGTTAAAGGATTGTAAACACACCAATCAGTGTTCTGTGTCTAGCTAAAGTTTTATAAACGCACCAATCAGCACTCTGTAAAAATGGACCAATCAGCACTCTGTAAAATGGACCAATCAGCAGGAGGTGGGTGGGGCCAAACAAGGGAATAAAAGCGGGCCACCGGAGCCAGCAACAGCAACCCGCTGGCCTCCCCTTACCTTGCTGTGGAGGCTTTGTTCGTTTGTTCCTCACAATAAATCTTGCTGCTGCTCACTCTTTGGGTCCGCACTACCTTTATGAGCTGTAACACTCACTGCAAAGGTCTGCAGCTTCACTCCTGAAGCCAGTGAGACCATGAACCCACCAGGAGGAACAAACAACTCTGGATGCGCCACCTTTAAGAGCTATAACACTCACTGCGAAGGTCCGTGGCTTCACTCCTGAAGTTAGCGAGACCACGAACCCACCAGAAGGAATAAACTCTGGACACATCTGAACATCTGAAGGAACAAACTCCGGACACACCATCTTTAAGAACTGTAACACTCTGGGAGGGTCTGCACCTTCCTTCTTGAAATCAGCGAGACCAAGAACCCACCAGAAGGAACCCATTCTGGACACACTACTATTCATTCTCACCTTAAAGACAAGGAAACTAAGGCAAAGAACAGTCAACTAATAAGTCCAAGTATACAGAGCTAGTAAGGAATAGTCTGCCTAATCCCGAGGCTATGTCATAACCACTTCCCTATACTGCCTGTCAGCAGAGGTAAAAGTCGTGTCTTATTCATCACTGCCACCCCACCAAACCCAGCTTAATGCCTGACACGGGGAGATGCTCAATGAATGCTGATTGTTATTGAGTGGAGTAGAAATGCAAGGCCCAGTGAGCCCCTTTGCTGTGACTGATGGGGTGTCCTGATTTTCTGCTGTAAAGAGAAGGAGAGTGTTGTATGAAACACATTCCTCTGGCTCCTAGCTCTCTATGTTCCCCTTCGTTTATCCTGTTTCTCTACTCCTCCTCTTCCTAACTGCACCATGTGGATTCAAAATTGCAGCTTAGTGCAGACAAAGGGAAAACAGAACTCTGAATGAGCCCAAAGGGAAAACAGTTCTCTGAATGACCCCTGTGAGTTTGAGAGAAGAGAAGCAGGAATTTGAGCAGGAAGAGAGTAAGGAAGAGAGAAAGTAATTCAAATTTATCATTTTAACTTAATATTTAACTGAGTGAAAGCCAAATCTTATCTGAAATTGGAAAGGTCAGGGTTTTGAGTGCTGATTCAGTGCCCATTTCTTTATGATTTGATAGTCTGAGAAGAATATGATGGGTGCGGCTTAAAAACCTAGATCACGTGTGGTGTTGGAATTGGGTGTTATACGAGCAAACAAAATAAATACTTGCGCAATATACCTGCTTTGTGCACTCAAGCAGAGAAGAGATCCACAAGTACTCACCAGTCTCCTGTTCTGCAAAGAAGACAGAATCAACATGAGCACTGCAGGAAAAGTAAGCAAAAAATATATTACTGTTGGTAATATATTCTCTTTAATATAACAAATAAAGGAATACAGTATCTGATGAATAATTGAAAATTCATATCTAAATTAGAAATGATACACTGAAATATGATATGCAATGTATGCTATAATATATAATGTATACTGAACTACAGTGGAAATAAGCTATTCCTAAACACCTTCAAAAAGAATATATAGAATCTGTATCTATTAAGTCTTTATTTCCTACATTAAATAAATTTGCAGTAAAGTGATAGTTTATTCCAAGCTAATCATGACTGATTTGTAAATCTAAAGTTAGAAAAGTCTTTAATCAGAAGTTATCTTTATATTAAGAAACCATAATTTAAATGTGTTATTATTTGTATTCATATTTTTTGTGAACACAAGAAAGTTAAGTCTGACATAACTTTTATGAGAGGAATTTGATTCAGAAAATTTTGAAATATCCTTTTAACCTTACTATAAAATATCTTACAAAATACTCATTGATCTCACAGCATTAGAATCATCAAGGTTAAGCAAGACATCACATGCAAATTCCATTTAAAGGGGGCCCATTATGACACAATTCAGGCAATTTCCACAGAAATCTTATAGAACAGTGTCTCCCCTATATAAAAGTCAATATGATCTTACAGAAAAATAATAATACAATTTGAATCACTTATTAGCACTCAGAACACAAATATTTGGTTTTTTCTTCTATAAATTTATATTTATTTTTTCAATGTGTTTACAGGTGCACAGAAATGCATGTCATCATTCAATATAATCAACTGGTATTTTTAATTGCCTAATAAAAAAAAATCCGTGTAACTATTTTCAGCCGTTTATTGTGTTAAGAGTGCATCACACAGTAAAATATCTCACTATGATAATTCAGTTTAAAGGTTCTGAGGCTTATCTCTATGCTGTGTGACAAAACAGGCTCATATCAATAAGACTGGTTGGAAATCACACGAGTGGCCCATTGGTGCTGTTCTTACACCACTTCACTTTGCTTTATTTTCATTCATTATTGATTAATATTTACATTCCTCATAGAAAATAATTAGAGAAAAGAAAATTTGAATTTACCATTTACCAAACTCGACTTAAAAGAAATAATGAGTTCATAGAGCAAAAGTATAAACCAATCATATTAATGAAAATTATAACTGATGAAATAGATAATCCTCCCCTCTTCAGTGCAGCATCAATAACTTAGCTTTTTGACAGCATTGCATTTATGTTTATGTGTCCCGCATTTTATTTTCTTCAGATCCTAAATTGTGACAGTACTAATGTCTATTTCATAAGGTACTTCTGAGAATTCAATAAATTAATAGTGAAAAACACTTAGAATAGTACCTGGTAAATAAAAATAAGTCAATAAATATTAGCCACTATTATTATTGTTGCTATTTAACTTTTTGATATTTACTATCACGGAGTACTGAAAATGTGAGGCTAGATTAATTTTTTTGTTTGTTTGTTTGAAGACGGAGTATCTTTCTATTGCCCAGGCTGGAGTGCAGTGGGGTGATCTCAGCTCATTGCAACCTCTGCCTCCCGGGTTCAAGTGATTTCTCCTGACTCAGCCTCCCAAGTAGCTGGGACTACAGGCGCACGCCACCATGCTTGGCTAATTTTAGCATTTTTAGTAGAGACGGGGTTTCACCATGTTGGTCAGTCTGGTCTCCAACTCCTGACTTCAGGTGATCCACCCACCTCGGCCTGCCAAAGTGCTGGGATTAAAGGCGTGAGCAACCGCACCCAGCCTGATCTTTATTCTCTGGACAACCAGCTTTGAGACTTTAGGAAAATTATTCAATCATTGAGTCAGTTGATCCTCAATTATTTCAGATGTAGTAAGACCAATAATTCAATAGTACTGGTAGCATCCTTTTTAGGTTTAAAAGTAATACACGTTGTTTGTAACAGCACAATTTGCAATTGCAAAAATATAGAACCATCCTAAATGCCCATCAACTAACGAGTGTATAAAGAGAATGTGATATGTGTACACCAGGAGATACTACTCAGCCATAAAATGGAACAAAATAATGGCCTTTGCAGCCACTTGGATGAAGCTGGAGACCATTATTTTAAGTGAAGTAACGCAGGAATGGAAAACCAAGTACCATATGGTCTCACTTATAAGTGGGAGCTAAGCTATGAGGAAGCAAAGGCATAAGAATGATATAGTGGACTTTGGTTAGGGATAAAAAACTACACATTGGGTACAGTGTACACTGCTCGGGTGACAGGTGCAGCAAATCTCAGAAATCACCACTAAAGAACTTATCCATGTAATCAAAAACCACCTGCACACCAAAAACTATTGAAATTAAAAATAAATAAATTTTAAAAATAAAAATAATGCATGTAACTCACTCAGCACAAGCCACAATGCACCTGTCACATCACAGGCACCTGACAATCAGGAACTCCTACTATTAGAACTTTATTTCCAAGTATTCTGATATTTATTTTGGCATGGACCACATTGAAAATCCTGCAAAGTTGAAGGATTTGACAAATGAATAACGAAAATGAATTGGCAGAAGATGAAATTTCAATTTTTATTATATTTGCAATTATGTTGATTCTATATAGAAAGAGATTTGTGAATTGTACATGCTTTACCACAACAAAGATGGGTTTTACAGTACACTGCTAAGCACTGGAAATATGTGATCAGCTTTTATTTTTAAGGACATCTGTGGATAAGCTTGCTAGCTAGAAACTCAAATACACAAGTTTCTCCAGTTTTTAAATATATATGTGTGGTCTGAATGCACACACACACACACACCACCAACTCTAACCTCTGTAATTTTGGGCTCAAATCTAAGCTGGAAGGAGTCTCTGCACATAAATTAGATGACAAAACAGGCTGCTAAAGCTAAGTTTCAAATGGGTGTTTGAGACAAGTTACATACAGAAGTGGAGAGAGAAAATTAAAAGAGGGCAATAGGGAAATAGAAAGAGAAAGAGACATCATCCTAAGCAGGAAGGTAAATGTATAATTGTTCTATGGAGTCAGATCCTTTTGGCCTAAGCAGAAAATTGAGGAAGAAAGCAGTGTATTTTAGACAGACACTGACTCTGTCAGCAAAGTAAAGGTGACTTAGAACATGTACCAGCCAATAGTTGTGGGTAAACAGGTGTTTTCAGGACAGTATTAGAAAATAATCAGGATTAAACATCTTTGAAGAAAAAAAAAAGAATAGCCTAAATGAAGATATTCCATTTTATCTAAGTGCCTTATTGTACTTAACTGTTTTTCTTTCCTTATGTTATTGCTGTTTTAAAAGATACTCTTACTCTCTTTATAAACCAGAGAACTTCATTTCTATGTAACACTTTTTAGGTGCCAGACATGGGACTCAATGTTGCATGTACAAAGATGAAAAGACACAATTTCTGACTTCAAGAGTGGGAAAACACTGGTACCATCTCTCTGTTTGATTTTCTAGGTAATCAAATGCAAAGCAGCTGTGCTATGGGAGGTAAAGAAACCCTTTTCCATTGAGGAGGTGGAGGTTGCACCTCCTAAGGCTCATGAAGTTCGCATTAAGGTGAAATATTTTTTCCATTTGTATTTAATTTTAAGTTTAAAAAATTCAGAAAATATTAAAAATAGAAACATCCAAAATCCACTAAGAGATTTTTTTTTGGTAATTATCCAGAAAATAAAATTACATTTGTTGTCAAGGAAAGTAGAAATATAAATTGTTAAATTTTTTTAAAGTGAGCAAACAGTATATGAAGTATAATTCCAGTAAAATACAAAAAAATTTATAGGTTTGTAAAGAAAAAAATGCAAAGGGATATATATCAAAACTTCACAATCAATTTGTGTTAGATATTTTCTTGGTGTTAATTTGCAATTTCTACTTCTTTTTCTTTTAACTATGCATTCTTCTATATTATACAAGACAAATATTTTAGGATCAATTATTTCACAGATTATTCTAAATTGTTAAATTCAAGGGAGAAAGATAGAGGAAGGTTTTAGGCTGGATAATCTTGGAGATAAACTGAATCTTTCGTATTTGGGAATAGTAGGGATTGTCAGTAAAACCCTTGAAAATATTTTAGAATAATAATTTTAGAAAATTGGGTTTGTTAAGTCCATCTGACAGTCATAATCTTTTCCGAATCTAAACATCTTCTCTTTATTCTGTAGATGGTGGCCGTAGGAATCTGTCGATCAGATGACCACGTGGTTAGTGGTACCCTAGTGACCCCTCTTCCTGCGATTTTAGGCCACGAGGCAGCTGGCATCGTGGAGAGTGTTGGAGAAGGGGTGACTACAGTCAAACCAGGTACAGGATTCACACTCAGGGAACATGCCTTGGTTCCCCATCACAAGATTAGTCAGCCTGGATGAGGAAACCGAGGCAATGAAAGACAAAAGGGCTTACACAAGGTCACAGGGCAGCCAGGACTTCAGGAGTTTCCTCCTTCCCTCTCTGCTTGCCTGACTCAAGCAGGTATGACTTCAGGCATGCATGTATTCTAACCTTCAACTATTGTGTACTGACTATCTACTAGATGCCAGTCACTAGGTTAGAGCCTGGAGATATATGAGGATCAAAAGAGACAGTGCCTACCAATGTGGAATTCATAATCTAGTAACTTCCGTGTTAGTGTTGCTGAACACTGTCTTCTGTAAGGGCCCAAAAAACTAGAAATGGGAGAAGGGAAAAAAACATAAGTATGGACATTGCTCTGTGCTGAGTTCACCAAATGGAGGCTACATGGCTGCAGCTGAATAAATATGACCTTTTCTTAGGTGACCTATGTAGCCCCTTCACCAATTTCCTCTTCCAACGTGGTCTCTCTTCCTGAGCATGGAATCAATGAAACCGACTAGCTGAAAGGAAATCAAAGAAACATAGTAGGAGCCATCCACCATCAACAATGTCTGCCTTATTACCTTCAGCCATGCTTAAATGTGACTGGTTATAGATTACAATTATTTTATCTTCAATACTTATTTTACCATAATCTTATGTATTAATATAAATATTTCAGAGGTAAAGGATGAATAAGTAGAACATTTCCATACCATCATTTTCATATGAACTTTACCCATAAAATATTATGCACGAATCATTTTTCTTGGTCTTGTGAAATAGATAGCATAGCTGATGAAAAATAAAAATTATCTTTAAAGAATCACTTTAGCCAGTAGATGAGACCTGTCCCCTTACCAAATACTAATTTAGACTGTGAACAGAAAATAATAAAATAAACTGTCCAATTTGAGTTTTAGGTCTTACTATTTCCTTTACTCAGAAATAGATTAATAACAAAATGACTCCTATTTCTTACCCCTCCTCCCCACACCATAACAGTAAAAAAGGATAATTCACAAATTATCAGCTAAAAACATTTGGAAGTCAATTCTTATCCTAAAAGAAAGTGCCTAACTTATTGTGGAGGGTTGAAATTTTCAGACGAATTTCTGTAATTCTTCTTTGTCCTATTTTTGTTTGTTTTCTTCCAAAAAAAAAAAACTAAGATATTTTTAAAAACATTCATTTTATAAGAAACATAAACCTAGTCACTTTGAAAAGCCAAGACCTACTTTAAAAATCTCATTTTTGTTGTAAATCAAACTCTTACAAAATACCAGATCTTCCCAACATGTACTGGGACTAAAATAGATGACTTTCAACTAAAATTTATATATATAATTATAATAAGAATATTTAATTAAGATTTAATTAGACAAGGATTACATAAATTATATTTGCAAAGCCTCCAGGAGAAATTAGTGCACTGCATAAAAGTTTATTAATACGTTGGATGGAATTTTGTTAATCCATCTTGTTTCCGACACTTGCATTTCTCTTTAGGATTCTTCAGGCACTTATAAACCCGACTAAAAAACAAGGCCTTGGCAGGCAATCACAAATGACATAGTTGTGGGAATGACACCCTATTTCTTAGAAACTATTCAGACACATGATTCTAATCTATACATGTGAGCTTTAAGGTTTTGCTGTATTATTTCCTCCATAGAAATTTAAGAAGAATTTGTTTTATTCCTCTCCAGGTGATAAAGTCATCCCACTCTTTACTCCTCAGTGTGGAAAATGCAGAGTTTGTAAAAACCCAGAAAGCAACTACTGCTTCAAAAATGAGTGAGTTTCTGATGCTTTCTTTGCACAGACTTTGAGTTTGCAAATTAGTTATGCTCCTGTCTCATGCCTTTGTGTGTCTGTGTATTGCACTACCCAGTCTGAGCAATCCTCGGGGGACCATGCAGGATGGCACCAGGAGGTTTACCTGCAGGGGGAAGCCCATCCACCACTTCCTCGGTGTCAGCAGCTTCTCCCAGTACACGGTGGTGGATGAGAATGCAGTGGCCAAAATTGATGCAGCTTCACCCCTGGAGAAAGTCTGCCTCATTGGCTGTGGATTTTCGACTGGCTATGGGTCTGCAGTCAAAGTTGCCAAGGTAGGAATGACAATGGATGAGAAAACCGATTACACGAAGACTGTCAGGAACCAAAAGGGAAGCAATTTCTTGCAAGAATCAGAAATTAGTTTTATAGATTTGAAGTGTCGATGAAGAGTAGAAAAACAACCCAGAAAGAATTGAAAGCGCAGTATAGAAATTTCACCAATTTATTGCAGATAAAAAGTTGTTGAGTTAAGAAAATGTAAAGATGTCATTTTCAATAATTTTTCTTCTGAATTTGCTATTTATGGGATCACAAAATTTTAGGTCTGAGAACTAACTCATGTAGTAATGCATTTAGCAATTAGAGAGAACCTATACATGCCTCAGGCACCATAGGTTCTGCTAGGCTCTGACAGCAAAAGTAAATGAAATGAAGCGTTTGTCCTTGAGGAACATCTAGTCTGTGGATCCTCTACTCCCAGAATTAGGAGCAACAGTAGAGTCCAAAACCTCACCTGATGCACTTCCACACCAAGGCTTACCCACTCTGTGGATTCTTAGAAGGAAAGTAATGAAGCTTCAGTGATGCGTAATTCACTCATTGTGACATTTCACTGCTAAAACTATCTTCCCTGACATGAACATACACATATATTTTAGAAGTGGTAAATTTCAAGCAGAAGTTCTTTAAAGTCTCCTCCTCTGAGTAGTATGAAAATCTAATAGCATGCTTTATTTTATGAAACCTAAATCGAGAGATAAAAAGATATTTGCCCAAAAATTCACTTCTGCTTAATATGAGAGCTAATACTAAAATATCTTTCTCAAATCTCCTGCTGAATCTTAAATCACAATCCATAATTATTTATTTATTTATTTATTTATTTATATTATTATTATACTTTAAGTTCTAGGGTACATGTGCATAATGTGCAGGTTTGTTACATATGTGTACTTGGGCCATGTTGGTGTGCTGCACCCATCAACTCGTCAGCACCCATCAACTCGTCATTTACATCAGGTATAACTCCCAAT